AAACAACTAATTAATTAATAATTACACCCATAACACACGTCTTTAAAAGCTGCAGTATGACTCTACTACGTTTAAAAACGTTACGACGTTCAGATAACGTTCTTTCTGCGGTGCTACCGCAAAAAAAAGACAAAAAGGAGATACTGGGTGAAGAAGCCGCCTCTTTATACACTTCTATCACCAGTGTCCAAATTTCATATGTTTTATTGGTATCCATTATGACGTGTGCTGCATGCGAAAGTCGCTTACGAACTGTTTGAAATTGCCCCATTTGCGTTACACATGTGGCGTGGTAGCTATTATCTAGGGAGCAAGGAAGGTCTTGCACCCATGTCGCTCTGCCGCAGGGCGGACTTTTTTTTTTATACTTCGTTTTGTCGATTGATAATATACTCCAAAATTACTGTATCACAAAAGGAGCAAAACTATTTATATTTATATATATTTTCGATAAGGACTATTTTAATAATTTAAAAGTAATATTTTGCTTAGCTACAACATACGTAGTATTTAAATTAAATTCATTTTAATTGTAAAAACAAAAAATCAAACCGATAATTTTTGCTAGAAGCTGCATAAGATGAAAACAGCTTCTGGTTGTAGTTGAAAGGCTGCTAAATTGTCGCAAGTAAGATTATATATATATAATCTTACTTGCCACAATTTAAATACGTTTTTATAGGTTGACTTGGGACACATTTTTCGTGAATTTTGTTCTAGAGCCGCCATCTATTTAGTAGTAGGTACAATGACTAATGATCATTCATAATAATTTATTTATTCTTTATTGCATTCCTTAATATAAAATAATACAAAGGGCAAACTGAAAATGTGTAGCAGATTAGAATTAAAACAAAATAAAAAATAAATAACTAAGATATATATAAATTTTACTAATATGTAAAATAAATAAATACAAATATAAATAGTACATATAATTGACTGGGAGAGAATGCCTTAAGGCATTTAGTCCGTCATATATACGAATTTTCTTTTGTGCATAAAAGTAAAAAAAAACAATAAATATATAAATATAAATAACTATAAATATATACGTCTGTTAATAATAATATTCTTAAGATTAAGATACTTTGTGTTTCGTGCAATAAAGAATATCTATCTAACTGTCTTACATCCTTGAACACTCACATACACACACTCACACACAAACACACACACAACGCGTGCGGACAAAGACAGTGCCGATGTAAGAGTAGATCATTCAAAATTGTCGATTGTTTGAATGGGGATGTCAGGAAGTTGACTACAGATTTATAATGTAAAGTCATAAAAAGTACTCGATGTTGCAAAAACATCGATGTTTCTAACCGATGCATCGAAATATATCGATGCACAGTCTCGATGCATCACATCGAAGAAAAACATCGATGTATTTTCAAAGTGGACATCCCTAGCCCGTGAGCAGTAAATATGCCCAGATTTTAAAATAATTTCTTAATAAAATCAAATATTGGTCTTTTGAAAAAAAATTTACTATAGAAATGTTCATTAATAAATTGCCTATCCATTGGTGTAAATCGCAAAATAAAATAATACTTACTTTACGAGGAGATGCATGTTATCAATAATAATTTCACATTTATGTGGTTTCGTTGTAAGGAGATTATATTAATATTTATTCCTTTAAAAAAAAATTGGATATAGCTTTTATGGAATCAAGATTATGTAGAAATATAATGTGTTTTTTATTTGTTGATATATCTTTTAAATAAAAAGTAGATAGCTTCTAAAAACCGCCCAAATAACGACTGGCGCGACATTTTGCTCAACCTGCGCCTTAAGGGACTGACGCTTAACATTTTAGGATATTTTTGATATATAGACGCTACCATTTCTTCTCAACTAATTTTATGTATGAAAGTCTGCCATTGCTCTTTATTTGAAAGTTATTTATCATTTAACTTCAATTATTTTATTATCATTCCTAATTAAACAATATAACTCTTCCAAATTTAAGACGTTATTTCCACAACTATTTCTTCTGCGGCAACAACGCGCCGAGTACCAGTTAGTATGAAATAAAAACAGATCTACAAAATGTTAAACAATGAAAAATACTTAATAAACGTTGATAATTTCTACTAACCAATAAAAACTAAATAAATAATTTAAGAATACATTTCTGAGGGCGATTTAGTAGACCATATGCATATATTTATGAACATATTTTAATTACATTACTATAGGATCGCTTGCGCATGCTGACATTATGACAACGAAATATTATCTTAGAGTTAGATCAATATGTGCATAAAACTATTAAAAAGAGTCAATTATAATAACTAATGGCATGATAAATAAGGTAATTTACTACCAATCGACTGTTAAATAAAGTTTAATTTCCATCAATTTCAAAATTTAAGCGTCGGTAAGCTTTTGTGAAATTAATTGCTTTTACACACATTTTATAATAGGCATATTTTGTAAATAAATTATTCAATCGAAGGTTATTCAGTTAATTTAGCGACAGATAAATATTTAACGTTGTAGTGACGAATCCATAAATTTTTATATTCTATCCAAGTTTCTTTCCAATTAAGTATGGGATAGGTCAATATTTCTACTACTGCAATAATTTATGTGTAATAACAATATATATTACGACTATGATTTTATTTTAAATTATAGCCACACTTATAAATTTTCCATTTTTAATACTGGCTAGATACTTGAATAACTAGGTTCTTCGACCCATTGTTTATTTTATATTACTGAACAAAGGTTTTCTCAAAGTTACTCATAATGGGAGAACAGTTTGACGTGTTGGACGGCATAGCTAAATCCATCCTCCATTTAGTTAGTTGTATTGCAAGAGGCGGCTATCGGCAAGTCTAGATCAATAGAGTGCACTATACCATCTCTTCTATGAGTGTAAAACACTAGGACCGAAAACGAGGAGCAGGCAACAGTGAAAAAAATGTATCCATTTTTAGTACCATTCATTCATAGCGTAGGCGGGTAGTAGTAGTTCGAAGTAGGTTAGTCGTAGTTGTTAGTGGCGGTGGAAGAGAATCCACTGCCCTATATCATCCCGTGGGTGTTGTAGGAGGCAACGAGGGAAATTGAAAAAGGAGATAGGCTGCAGCATCTTTCTGATTACAACTCAAAATAACAAAAAGCCGCCAACCAAGTCATGTTCGCCAAATCAAGTTTGTCAAATATGACAAATATCTCACTTATAAGGCAAAGTATGGAGGAGGTCTTGTTCAGCAGTGGAATTTTATTGGCTGTATGACGATGAAGAAGTGAAAAAATCATTTTATTCCTCTATAACTAAAATACTAATAAAATACAATTTTTTGAAATGAATTAGAAAGTTAAAAAATTAAAAAAAATCTGTTGTATAATTAAGTTTTCTTTGTTATATTTATGATTTTATATAAACATGGATATGATCCGTGGTCGGTGGTGGATGGTGGTGGATAAGGGCTTGTTTAAAAAACTCATACTACAGGTAACTTAAGAAAACCGATTACGATTCCCACCGACACCAATCAAGGTGTTGATAGAAATTTAAGTAGAGATTTTCTCGTGCTCGGCATTAATGGAAAACGTCTTTAGGAAAACTAATATTAAAATTATTTCGGACATGTGAAGCCCGGGAACACGGGAACCCAATGTCACGGTATCTTGCCTTTTTTTCTTTTTTTATAGGATAGTGTGACAAACGAGCACATAGTCCACCCTATGGTAAGTGGTTGCTAAGGCCCATAGACATCTACATCTATCCTCAATAAAGAATCAAAATGCAGATGCGTTGTCACCCGTGAGCACTCACGGGTGACAACGTAAGTTGGAATGCCTTTTCTCCAGTAAAACGTTCTCCGGTTCTCTACACTCACCATACGAAAGACAGCAGTATTAAGCTGCTATTTTAGGTTGGTATTCTGTGAGTGTGGTCCTTCCCCGGTCGAGCCGACCCATTCGTGCTACAACTATACAGTTAATATAGCTGCAACATGGCTCTACCACGTGAAAAAGACTTTAAGCCTCTCTCCCTTCTCCTTTGAAATGAGAGAAAGCTTGAACCTTGTCCCAGCCGCGGGACGTAACAAGTTGTTACTTTCCTTTAGATGTGTTCCTATTTTATTTTTATACAAAAATATTTCAGTGAAATTTTTTAATCTTGAAACGATACATTATTACTAATTTATAGCTCTTTGATAATGATATATTGATATGGAATGCTACTTACCTATTTTTTTTACAAGATCTATGATATAAATATTGATAACATAAGAACTTTTAAAGCTTTTGTATGTATCTAGTAGGCACCTACACTGCATTGGCGTTTGTGGTAGGTACCTATAGGTACATTTTAATTTTGATTAGATTTGAATTTTTTTCACTTAGGTACATATACCTACTTGAGATACTTAGTTTAAAGCATTATTCTGTGGTTTAAAGTTTTAAACAATTATTTCTGTTTTAGTTTCCTTTAAGGCGTTACTAAGTATTTTTCTGCCGACTTCCAAAAAGGAGCCGGTACTCAATTCGACTGTATGTTTTTTTTTCGTTTTTTTTTTATGTGTGTTACCTCAGAACTTTTTTCTGGGTGAACCGATTTCGATGATTCTTTTTTTATTTGAAAGCTGGTACTTCTCGTGTGGTCCCATATGAATTTGATCAAGGTCAGACCAATAGTTTTTAAGTTATTCTTAAGTAACTTATATTGAAGTCGGCTGTACAAAATTTTTAATTTTAAATTATTATTTGTACACGACGTCTCGCTTAAAAAAACGTTTTGATAGTTGTAATATTTTGGTTCACAAAATGTGTAAATATGTAGAACGTGCACGTACCAAAATTTACTAAAAAAATATGAGTAACACTTTTTAAAAATGTGTAAAAACAAACATACCTACTATAAAAAAAAGTAACTTTTTATATTCTCCATTGATTTTAAGTCGGATACAAATTTAAATAATAAACATAAACTTAATTCATTTCCATTGAACCAAAGTAAATAACTAACTTACCTTTAGGTGTTACAACTCTAAAAGCGCTATTGGACACCGGTCTTGGTGAACTTTCCCGCAAACCGCCTCCAGGTGAGCTACTGTCGTTCCGTACCATAGAAAAGTCCAAAGGCATTGGCGGCATCGCACTTATTTCCATTGTCAGTAATTTAAAAGAAATATTAAAAAAATAAAAACTGCATCTGTCACTTGGAATGTACGATTTACGCGGCCGAATTTGTATAAGGGCGCGGTGCGTGCGACCGACGCGGACCGCGGGTGTGTATTAAGGCGAGTATCACACTCGGCTACCGTCCATTCGCGTTTCTGGTCGCTAAAGCCGAAAATCTCTAGGATCTTCATAGTGATTTGGACCTTATCGAAGCTACAGTGTGGGCGTGGTTCAACAGGCCCCGCCTCGAGCGTCCCTCGCCGCCATGTGCACGCCGACGGGTGACAATCACTTTGTATAGGTAACAGAATAATACGATTCTTGATAGATTTTATTGTTCCGCCGATGCATTTGTTCGCGAGCAATTTCAGTAAAACTGTTGTATTGGGCTTTTCTTCGTGTTGGGTGCGCCGTGTTAGATTGTATTGGATTATGTTTTGTTATTAAGCGTGGGATAATGATGAAATAAAATTGTTTCTGTGTTTGAGACATTTTAATAAATTTACTAAGAAAATATCTTTGAACCTTAATTATAATTATAATATTTCTTTTAAATACATGAAATATATAAAAAAATGTTTGAATGCAATAAAATGCATTAATTTTAGAAATTTAAATATTTCAAAGAAGTTAATAATTAGCTTAGATAAGTTTATGCCTCGATTTATTATTTTTATTAATATCTATAAATAATTTTTAATAAGGATTAGGTTGCCTATATAAAATTGTCTAGTAATAATTAATCAATTCACAAGTATTTTTTTCTCCCAAGTTGTTTTTCAGCTCGCTGTCCGTAGGTACATATGTGGTACCCATATGCAGTTAGACTATTGTTTATTAAATATTTATAAAATATATAAAATTAATTAACAATAAATAATTTAAATAATGTCCGATTTAATTCACAAATCTCTTCTCTAAAGCAAAGGTTAGATAAAATAATTTATCGTACCTAAAAGATCAATATCTAGACTAAAGTGGCAATTAGTCGACCACATAGTTCGAAGAACCGGAAAACCGATGGTATAAGAAAGGTTCTCGAGTGGCAGCCACGTAGCTACCTACTTACAAGGACAGTGTTGGGGAAACAACCTTAGAACTTTAGATGGAGCGACGTGACGATCTGATGCAATATGCAGGGAGTCAATAGAAATGGGCTCAGGACACTAGACAAGTAAAATGCCATCAAAAACATAACTTGTAAAAAAACCAAGTCTCGCAAATCAGTTCTACCATAAAAAATTGTGAGATCCATAAAATACCAAGTCGGTAAATTTATTCAGCCCCTACTTAAGGGTCCTTCTGTCTCAAGTTATTACGTAATTAGCTAAGCTAACAACATCTTATAGTGACCATATTAATATTAAAAATCTTTTGTTTTAAAGAAATAAATTGACTTGGCAATCGCATAAAAACACAATGTATCTCACAAGTAATATATATTATATTAAATTAGATTGTTTAAAGCACTCAAAATTCAGGCTTCTAGTTTTATCCACAACGAAGCTATAGCACAGATTACTAAATAGTTTACTAGGTGGTCGAAAATGGCCTGAACTGCTTCGAGAAAAGTATGGCGCGGCCGTGTCGCTTTTTTGCTCGACTTGGCGGTGGCACTGCCGTGCCCCCAGATTGTGATGTAGGTACCAGATATCTGATACATGATGTTTTCACTTTCCTTGATTTCTTACAGTCCTTATTTAACACAAAATTAACTTAGTGATGTATAGACCTTGCATATTTTGCTAATATGTTATTAAAATTATGCATAAGTAGGTAACCTACTCCATAAATTAATTGATTTTGTAGTCGATTAACTGGTATATGTTGGTCCCTTAAGGTAGTAGATTCAATTTTCTTCTGTCTTCTTTATAAAAGTCCACCGAACATGGAAAAATCCTGTTGTAGGGAGGATTTGGCATAATCGCCATGAATGGCAGGCAGGATAGACAGAAGACAGAAGACCAAACACTTCGCATTTTCAACGCTGCTTCCCGCCGCAGGTCAGGGTTCTTCGGGTCAGCTTAAACAAGATGTTTATACGTAAGTAGATGTCAATATCCTCAGGATAAATAGGATTGTGGATATTTGCTCTCAAAACCAGACATAAACATACTATATTTTATATATATATATATATATATATATATATATATATATATATATATAGTCCTTCTCATCGATTTCGATGATGGTGACCCTATAAATTAGGATACTCGTATTTCCATAGCAAGAGCCCTGGAATGGCTTGCTATCCCGAACTTGGTCTTAAAAGCTCTTTGACATGCGTGACATAGAGTAACTGTCTAGCTGAGTTGTAGGTGCATGTAGGTATAGGAGGACCTAGGTCTATCTTTGCGCAGTTAGCGTTTTGCCGGCTAAAGTCTACAACACATATACATACATATAATATGAAATACATACATATATAATAATAAATAAGGGCTGGTTCGTTTCTCGCTCAAAGGTTAAATACGGTCATTCAGCAAGGAAACGAAGCCACAATTCTTGGCACGATACTAAGAGGAGTAGGACTGTATAATGATTAAGTTACAGTTATAGTTAAGAATAGTATATATTATTTAAGTAAGTACCAAATATAATAAATTGTTTTGTGTTATTTAGTTATTAATTGGACTAAAGAAGATATTATGTAATAATTATAATTTGTACGTGGTAGAGCCATGCTGTAGCTATATTGTGGTTGCAGTACGAACGGGTCGGCTCGACCGGGGAAGGACCACGCTCTCACAGAATACCAGCGTAAAATAGCAGCTTAATGCTGCTGTGTTTCGTATGGTGAGAGTAGAGAACCGGAGACCCATTTTACTGGAAACGAGGCACTCCGTCCTAGTCCTCAGGGGTGACAACGCAACTGCATTTTGATTCTTGATCGAGGATAGATGTAGATGTTTAGGGACCACAGCATACACTTACCATCAGGTGGACTGTGAGTTCGTTTGTCACCCTTATTCTATAAAAAAAATTGTATTGATATCGTCCCGGAGCTGTCGTAAGAGGCGACAACGGGAACCGAAGCAGGAGCTAAAACTGCGGTGCCAATCCTCCCGCCAAGCATAGCTACTATAGCATTGCATATCCCATTGAAATATCCTCTACGGGGAGACCTATGTTCAGCAGTGGACTTTAGATAGGCGGTAACGGTTTTATCTATAATTTTAAAATAACTATCTCATTAAACTTAAGACGTAAAATCGACCACGATTTAAAATAGTTTAAATTAATATTTAATGACAATACCCACCTACTCAAGTTATAAATAAGTAGAGTAGGTGCTTAGTCTGCATATGTTCAATTACTGGAAACATGCCTCTTGTTCTTGAGATTATGGAGCAGTGTGAGAATTCAAATTATTATATAAAATAAATAATAGCGTACGTGAGGGTAATATAGTCATCCGGTTACTATGGTCACTTTTTATAACACAAAAGCTACAGCCTTGTTTGCATGGCTCTATGATACGATAGCTTTTCATTATTCAATTAAATATTAAATGGTCATAAGGGCGCTGATTTATCGACGCCATTTTGAAAGGTGTTCGATTTCGCGCGGTCAGAGTTGGAAGTATTGCTTATAATTTATTAAAAAGAGCTGTGTTCTGTCAACTTCGTTGTTTTAAGACTCATCATACCGTATTATAGGTAAGTAAATAAATAATTTATCATATTTTTAAATAGTCAAGTGTCCGTAATGGTCTTCTAAATATAGTTTTTTGTTATTCGTAAACAAAGTGAACAAGTACTGCTCTGCTAATATGGCCACCGAAATGACCATATTTACAGATTGAAAATAGTAAAAAAAGTTTTAGGATATTTTTGTTAGGATTATCTAATTAATAAGGCTTAATATTATTTTTTTCAGATTATGGGTCGTTACATTAAGAAAGGATTAAGAGGGAACTGGCGTCAGGAGGATCTCCAAGCAGCTCTTAATGCAGTTGCAGATGGACAGAAGGTAAACACCGCCGCCAAAGAGTTCAAAATGCCAAGGAGAACCCTTAAAAGATACTTAAAAACAAAACAAATTCTAAAGTCTCATCTTGGTCGCAAACCACTTCTCTCTTCTGAACAGGAAAATGAATTGGTAACGCGTATTAAACGATTAGCAAGTGTTGGTTATCCTATAACACCAAAGTTATTGAGGATATCTGTGTATCAATATTGCAAACTCAACAAAATGGCGTGACTGGTTAATAGGATTTATGGAACGTCACGAAGATCTTTCTTTGAGATAAAGTCAAAAGTTAAGTCCTGCTAGGGCACAAAAGCTTAACAAGTTTGTGGTGGATGATTATTTTAAAAAACTCAAGGAAATAATGGAGAAGTTGGCTGTGCAAGATAAACCGGCTCACATTTACAACATTGATGAAAAGGGCTGCCAATTGATGCTTCACAAAAGTCTTCTAGTTTTTGGCACAAAAAGGTGTAAAGCGAGTCCACACACTAGCTTCAGAACATGCTGAAAATGTAACTATTGTTTCCTGTAGAAATGCTATCGGTAACTCCGTACCACCTATGATCCTCTTCAAAGGAAAGAGATTGAAACCAGAATGGGAAGATAATTTACCCCCAGGCTCTTTAGTAGCAATGACTCCAAAAGGCAGTATGAACTCTGAAACCTTTGTGAAATGGATACATCATTTTGCAAAATTCAAGACTCCAGGTCCATGTTTATTGATATTCGATGGATCATCTTGTCACTTAGATTACAATATTGTAGACGTTGCAGATAAACACGATATTACTCTATTATGTCTTCCAAGTAACACAACGCACGAACTGCAACCCACGGAGCATTACTGGGATCAAGAGCTTCAGAAATCTCGGTTCCAGAACAAAGACAAAGCTCTGACAAAACAAAGATTCGGGAGGATATTTACTCCAGTATGGGACAAAGCTCTTACCCCATCTAATATAAAATCCGGATTTGAAGCTACTGGAATCTATCCATTCAACCCAAATAGAATT